ATAGAGCAATAATTAATTATGTGAAATGCGACCTCTTTTCAATAATGAAATAATTTCATAAACATGTTGTATGTGCAATATATAAAACATAGGAAATGTATGGAAGAATATATCTAGACACTCACCTTGCCTCTTATGGAATTCAAGCGGCTATTTAATTGGCGAAACTGAGCTGTCAAAGCGATGCTGATAAGAATAAGGAACAGGTCGACGAAATTCCACGAGAAGGTACTGAGAATGTTAATGAGGTCCACCAATATTCCTTTCCATAAACTATACGATATTGTAGAGAATACCTATACCAAACACATTTGACGTTTAAAAATACTTTCTATCGATATGCTAATTATTTCTCATCAGTTCCATTAATTTTATATATTCATAGACATTCATACACATTTATGTATGACTCTTATATATGTAAGTAAGTATTTTTATATTTATCGTTTTATTATTAATGTTATATAAATCTTATTTTTTTATCGTTTTCATATTAATGCTATGTAATGTGTTTTATGTTGATAAATATTAACAATGGTGAAATTATACATATTAATGTAACATCAAACAATATTTATTTAAACGTGATATAATGAAAAATAATAAAACAACTGTAAATTTATGCATTTCGTACCAAATTGACTTTTAGACTCACTAATAACAAATTGTAAATATTAATATAATACAATATAATATTTCGTATATTTATATATGATCTAATAAAATAATAAAACAAAATAAAAATAATTCCAAGTACGTTTATGTATTATGAAATTGCACGTTGTATGTATTGAAGTAATTTCTCTCGCGAAGAATAAAAAGATTGTTACCTGTGGGAATTGCATCTGGAAATACACACCAAAGATGTTCGGATCTTTTCGAAACGCAGCGCATTCTTTAGCCTTGATGTAGCCCTGGGCTATCGACAAACTATGCTCGACTGCAAACGATTCATTGCGTTTCATTAGTTGAAAGAAAATGAAAAACGAATAATGGGAAAACGGTAGATTGAAGATTTCGGACTCGAAGTTGCCAAATTAATTTAAAGACCGAAGCGATAGTTTGCTTCAAGTTCTTGAAATTGCATGAAATTACAAAGTACATACGAATTTTTCTCAGTGTACTAGTGGTCTCTAGTTGTAGTCGAATTGGCATGATCTAAGGTAGAATTTAAACACACTAAATACTGAATAATAATAATATTATTCAGTATTATTAAAAAGTATATATATATATAAAGTATTATTATAAATATTAATTTATATATTACTTATATAGAATAATATTATTAATAATATTATATAATAATAATATTATATAGAATAATATTATATAGTAATAATATTATATAGAATAATATTATATAGTAATAATATTATATAGAATAATATTATTACTTTATAATAAAAGTATTATTAAAAAAGAATGAATAATAATAATATTATTAATAATACGTATAATAATAAATAAGAAATTAGTAATAAATTACAATAATAAATAAAGAAATTCTTAGTAATAAATTATAAGTATTAGTACATTAATAATACGTATAATAATAAATAAAGAAATTCTTAGTAATAAATTATAAGTATTAGTATATAACATGTATTATAATCATAAATTATAAGTATTAGTATATAACATGTATTATATCATTATATTAGTATCAGTAACATGTATTATAATCAATAAAATTATATATATATTATTAATAATGAATGATAAATGAAAGATATCACCTACCTAATGCAAACATCATTACTACCATCGTTACGATCTTGAATTTCGCGGCTAGACTGGTCTTCGAAATTTTCCTATGCCTGTGTGAAAGCTCTTTCTCGAGCTTCTCCCAAGTTACCATCAAGCATGGCCATTGCACGGCCAATCTCAGGAACAGGAAGGTTGCGATCAAGTTCGTCCCATTGAATACAAGCGTGGCTTACGCAAAAAATAAACGATAAAATATATTATTTACGTACGTTTGCACAGAGTGTCTCGTTTTAATCTTCTTCCCATTCAATCATCTCCTAAATTATTAATTATTTGAAAAAAATAATTAATTCTCGGTAGCGTTTCCGAGAATTTCAAGGTCATCCCTATTTTTTTTAAATTTTATATATATATATATATATATATTTTTTT